CGGGCGGCTCTGCGCCAGCGACCTCCACCTGCTGCTCAACCTGCTGGGCGGCGGGGCGGGCGCGGGGGCGGGCGAGGTGTGGACCCCCGTGTGCTTGCCACGTTTCAACCCCGACGGGTATTTCTACGCGTACGCGGCGCGGCTGGGCGAGGAGGAGGAGGAGGAGGGCGTGACGCTGATCCTGCTGTCCACGGAGCGAGAGGGATTCTACGCGGCGGCTGCGTGCCGGCGGCAGCTGGAGGACACGCTGCGGGCGCAGGGCTGGCTGGCCGAGCTGGCGGCGGCCGTGCGAGGGGGAGCGGGGTACGGCCCCTCTCGCCCCGGCGCCCCCGAGCTCCGGCACTTCCTCTACAAGCCCTTGGAGGGGCCGGAGGAGATGCAGCAGCTGCCGCAGTTCACCAGGTGCGGGGATGGGGGGGACACGCCAGAATTGGGGGGTGGGTGTGTCCCTGACCTTCACCTGACGCTTTTGTTCCCCCTCCCTCACTGGCCGCAGCCCCGAGCTGGAGGAGCCCTACACCAGCGAGGAGGAGCAGCACCGGCTCTTCGACCTGTACCACTACCTGCACAGCCGCGTGCACAGCCCGCACCGGCCCCTGCGCCTGCTCTACCACGTGGCTGAGAAGGAAACGCTGCTGGCCTGGGTGAGCCGCGGGGAAGGAGCCGTCAGCAGGGCCCAGAGCCAGCAGCACCTGTTTGTGCTGTCCTGGGAAGATTCCAGAGTTAGTGGGGGTCGCTGGCTGGTGTGCTGTCGGTAGATCCTGCAGTTAACAGGATGCTCGGTGTCAGTAGATCGCGCAGTTAACAGGATGCTCACTGGAGATGCTGTCAGTAAATCCCACAATTAAAGGGATTTTCACTGGCAGTGCTGTCAGTAAACTCCACAATTAACAGGATTTTCACTGGCAGTGCCATCAGTAGAACCCATAGTTAACAGGATTTTCACTGGCAGTGCCATCAGTAGATCCCACAGTTATCAGCATTTTCGCTGGCAGTGCCATCAGTAGATCCCACAGGTAACAGGATTTTCACTGGCAGTGCCATCAGTAGATCCCACAGGTAACAGGCATGGATTCCCACAGGTGACCAGCAAGTTCGAGCTGTACAGCTGCTTCAGCCCGCTGGTGACGAAGGCGGGCGCCATCGCCGTGCTGACCAAGCTGCTGCGCTGGCTCAAGAAGGAGGAGGACTGGCTGTTCATCCGCTACCCGGCACCGTTCTGCGCCGCGCCCGCGCGCCCCGAGGGGCCTGAGCCCGAGGGCTGACAATAAACACTGAGACCCCGGGGAGAGTCCTGAGTCCGGGGAGACTGAGGGGTCAGGGGACACGGCCTCAGGGGTGAGGGGACAGGGGGACATCCTGAGGGGTGAGGGGACAGGGGACATGGCCTGAGGGGTGAGGGGACAGGGAATGTGGGGACACAGCCTGAGGGGTGAGGGGATGGGGGGGACATGGCCTGAGGGTGAGGGAATGGGGGGACATGGCTTGAGGGTGAGGGGACAGGGGGACATCCTGAGGGGTGAGGGGATGGCAAGGACACGGCCTGAAGGTGAGGGGATAAGGGGACACGGCCTGGGGGGATGAGGAGACACAGCCTGAGGGGTGAGGGAATGGCAGGGACATCCTGAGGGGTGAGGGGATGGAGTGACACGGCCTGAGAGTTGATGGGATGATGGAAGGGGTGAAAGGAGATGAGAACAGCGGCAGAGAAGGGGGAAAAGGGAACCAAAAATGACAGGAATGCAGGAGGGAAAACGGGGAGAAAACCTGAAAGAAAAGGTGGGTAAGAGCAGATAGAAAAGAGGGAAAATGGGGCAGAAAAGAGAGGGATGAGGGGACAGAAATCAGTGGGAAAACATGTGAGGAAACAGTGGGAAAATGTGACAGGAAAGGCTGGAAGAGGTGACAAGAAATGGAGGGCATAAATAGACAGGAAAGGGAGCAGAAAAGAGGGAAGAGGATATGATGAAAGAAATGACAGATTGGGGGTGAAAAGGGGACAGAAAATGACATCAGGAAGGGACAGAAACAGCTGGAAAAAGGGACAAAAATTAGGGCAAAGAATGGATGGAAAATGGTGGGAAGATGTGAGGGGGAAAGGTGGAAAAATGTGAGACTAAAAGGGTGGGAAAATGTGAGGGGAAAAAGGTGGGGAAATGCGAGGCGAAAAGGTGGGAAAATTGAAGGGAAATGGCGTGAAAACAAGGGGTGAAAGGCAGGAAAACATGAGGGGTAAGGGTGGGAAAAATTAGGGAAAAAAGCAGGAAAATGTGAGTGGGAAAGGGCGGGAAAACATGAGGGGGAAAGAGCGGGAAAACGTGAGGGGAAAAGAGCGGGAAACTGTGAGGGGAAAAGAGCGGGAAAACGTGAGGGGAAGAAGGGGGGAAAACCTGAGAGAATGGGAAGGAGAGGAGCTGAGAAAGCTGCAGAAAGAAGGTGAGGGGAAATTAGGGTGAAAAGGGACAAAGTGTAAGGACATAAGACAAAAAAGTGTGAAAAGGGGACTGGAAAGAGGGTGTTGGTGACAGAAAATGGAGCAAGAGGGGAAAGGACTGGAGAGGGAAATGAGGGACAGAAATGGAAGGGACAGAGGTGGCAGGAACTGGAGGAAGGAGGTGACAGAAATGGGAGAAACCCTGGAGAAAAAAGATAAGGAGGGAGGAAATGGTGAAACGTGACAGAAAATGCAGGGCTGAGGGTGGAAAAAGGGGATGAGGATGGGAAAAGGGGAAGAGGATGGAAAAAGGGGAATGAAGAGGATGACAAAGGCGACAGGAAGGGACAAGCCAGTGCCCACCATCATCATCCCCTGTGTCCCCCCCATGTACCCCTGTGTCCCCACTGTGTCCCTCCAGGCTGCAGTGATGGACCTGGACCCACGCAGTGAGGGGCTCTACGGCCAAGACCCCCCAAGACCACCATGTGTCCCAGTGTCCCCTCTCCCCAGGGACAAGGTGGTCTCAGGTGTCCCCAGGAGAGGCAGTGTCCCTGTGTCCTGCCCAGTTCCCCCCTCAGGTCCCCCTGGGGGGATCCCACAGCTGGAGGTGCTGCTGAGGCAGGTGCACAGCCTGCAGAAAGGTGAGTGTGAGGACTCCTGTGTTCCCCCATGTTCCCACGTCCCACCTGTCCTCCTATGCTCCCTCGTGTGCCTGCCACGTCCCCCCGTGTCCCACGTGTCCCTCTGTTCCTCCCACTGTGTCCCACAGTCCGTGAGGCCACGACACAGGAGCTGGTGAAGGCACAAGACTGCAGTGAGGGGTTGCGCCAGCACCTGGAGCAGCGTGAGTCACCTGGGGGGGACAATGAGAGGGCTGGAGGGGACACTGAGAGGGCCGGGGACACACAGAGGGGTCTGTGGGGTCCTTGGGTGGTGTGTAGGGACCCTGAGGGGTTTGTGGGGGCTCTGAGCTTATTTCCCCCTCCCCACAGTGGAGCAGCATAAGGAGGCACTGGAGAGGTCCTGGCAGCAGGTGCAGGGTGAGCCCGGGAGGTCCTTGGCTCTTTGGGGCCCCCCCAAAACCTCCCCTGATGCCCCCTGAACCTCTGACCCCCTTGACCCCCATGATTCCCTGACCCTTGTGGCCACCCAGAGGGGGTGGGACCCCCTACACAGAGGGACCCCCTTGGCCCCTGTGACCCCCCTGATCCCCCTGACCTTGACCCCTGTGACCCCCTGTGACCCCCCTGGCCGTGACACAGTCACTGCAGAGAGCGCAGCTGCAAGGGAAGGAGGTGGATGCCAAAGGTCAGAGGTGAGTGGGGACACTTGTGACCCTCCTCAACCTCACCTGTGCCCACGTGACCTCTGACCCTTCCCAAACACACCTGGTGGCCCCTGACCCCCCTGCAGGCGCTGCGGGCTCTGCCTGGAGAAGCAGCAGGACCTGGAAGGGACAAAGCAGCAGTGGGAGGAGCTGCAAAACCTGCGCCGGGGGCACAGGTGGGGCTGGGGACACAGCCTGAGGGATGCAGGTGGGGCTGGGGGTGGGACCAGGTGACCCACACAGGTCGTGTGTCACCCCTGTGTCCCCTCACCCCAGGTGGCAGCACTGCCAGCAGCTCGAGGCCATCATGGAGGAGCTCAAGCAGCTGCGTGTCACACACGTGAGCCCCGGGCTGGGGTCCCTCGCACACCTGGGGGTCCCTCACACACCTGGGTGCCCTGGCACACCCTGGCATCACCCCCTTCCCCCTGTCCCCCCACAGGCTCCAGCCCACCTGGAGGCTGAACTGGTGCAGCTGGAGAAGATGGAGGAGAAGTGGCTGAGCTGGGGTGAGCCCCTGACACCTGAGTGACCCCCCAGGACCCCTTCGAGCACCTGAGTGTCACTGCTGACACCTGAATGACCCCCCGTGACACCTCTGAGCACCTGAGGGACGCCCTCGGACACCTCAGTGACCTCTGCCAACACCTGAGTGACCTCCTGAGCTCCTGACTGACCCTGGGCCACCTGAACCCCTCTCCCACAAGCCCCTGAGTGACCCCCCCTGAACACCTGAGCGCCCCCAAACCCGGGTGTGTCCTCTTGGGCTGACCAGTGTCCCCCCCTTGCCCAGAGCGCCGTGTGATGGACGCCGAGGAGCAGCTGGGTCCAGAGGCACCTGTGCTCAGGTGAGTGCCCACCTCTGGCCCCGCCCCCTCACGTGTGGCCCTGCCCACTCAGGTCTGTCCCCACCCCCTTTACCCCCATTCTTGCAGGCGATTGGTGCAGCAGGAGCAGGAGGGGGCGGGGCAACAGCTGGAGGTGGAGCTGGGCCGGCAGCAGCTGAGCCTGCAGCGCTGTGACAGGTGTGTGACCCCTGGGGACAGGTGTGGGACAGGTGTTGCCCTGTCACCTGGGCCCCTCAAGGCCCCACCCACCTCCACCCCCACCCCCTCTCTGGCCCCGCCCCCAGGTTGGCAGAGGAGCTGCAGCAGCTGCAGCGCCCCCAGGAGGCTCTCCCAGAGTGACAGGGGACGAGATGGACACACCCCATGGGACACCTGTGGCACCTGTGTGACACCTCTGTGTGTTACCTGCGGGCCACCTGTGTCCTGCCATGTTCTCATGTCCCCCATTCCCCATTGTCCTACCCGCCATGTCCCCCTCAGGTCCCCAAGGCTCCCCCGTATCCCCCAGTCCTCTCAAGTTCCCCCATCCTCCCCATATTCCCCAATTGTCCCTCATGTCCCCATTTTCCTTAATGTCCCCCATGTCCCCATGTGTCCCACAATGTCCCCCATGTCCCCTCATGTCTCCAGTGTCCTCCATGTCCCCAGTTCCCCTCCAATGTCCTCCAATGTCCCCCATGTCCCCTCATGTCCCCATTTTCCTTAATGTCCCCCATGTCCCCATGTGTCCCACAATGTCCCCCATGTCCCCTCATGTCTCCAGTGTCCTCCATGTCCCCAGTTCCCCTCCAATGTCCCCCATGTCCCCTCAAGTCCCCAATGTCCCCCATGTCCCCTCATGTCCCCATTTTTCCCAATGTCCCCCATGTCCCCCCAGGTCTCCATGTGCCCCACAATGTCCCCTCGCATCCCTGATGTCCCCCATGTTGGGCCATTTGGCAGCGGCAGTGCCACAGTGAGAGGGGCTGGGGGCTCTGTGGGGACTCTGGGAGGGTTTTGAGGGGCTCCAGGGGGCTTTGAGGGGCTCTGGGGGGCCATTTGGGAGCGGCAGTGTCACAGTGAGAGGGGCTGGGGGCTTTGAGGGGCTTTGGGGGGCAATCTGGGAGTGTTGGGCTGCAGCGAGAGGGGCAGAGGGCTGATCTGGGGGGTTCCAGGGACACCTGAGGACTGGGTAGTTTTTCGGGGGGGTGTCTGGGTGGTTTTTGGAGTGCCTGGCCCCATTTTTGGGGTGTCTGACCTCAGATCAAATGCTCAGCCCACGTGCGCAGAGAATGTAAGGCGGGGGTGTCCCTGGTGGGATTTGGGGTGTCCCTGGTGGGATTTGGGGTGCCTACCCCGTTTTTGGGGTGCCTGACCCCGTTTTTGGGGTGTCCCCGGTGATGGACCCCCTGACCCCTCTGTGACCCCCCCTCCCCAGAGAAGGACCCGTCCCTGGAGATCCGGTACCGGCACAAGAAGTGGCGGGAGAAGGAGCACGAGGGGACCAAGGGGCAGGAGCTGGAGCAGGGCCGGGCTGCCAAGGTGGGCTCTGGTGGGGGGTCAGGGGGTGGGGACCCCACAAAGGGGAAGACCCCAATTCTGGGGGGAGGCTGGGAGGTGCTTGAATACCTTGTGATGAGGGATTTGGGGGGCACCAGGGGGCTGGGGGATGCTTTGGGGGAGATCTGGGGGACCCCGATCTCCGAGTGTCTGGAATCCCTCCCAGCTTGGGTTTTGTGGTGTCCCTGGGTCTTTCTTGGGGTGTCTGACCCCGTTTTTGGGGTGTCTGACTCTAGATCTAGCACTCAACCTGCATTTGGGGAGTGCAAGGTGGGGGTTTCCCCAGTGGGATTTGGGATATCCGTGGTGGGATTTGGGGTGTCCCTGGTGTTTTTGTTTCTGGGGTGCCTGACCCCATTTTCGGGGTGCCTTGACCCCAGATCAAGTGCTCGGCCCACATGTGCAGCGATTGCCAGGCAGGGGTGTCCCTGGTGGGATTTGAGGTGTCCCTGGTGGTTTTGGGGGTGCCTGACCCCGTTTTTGGGGTACCTGACCCCAGATCAAGCGCTCAGCCCGCCTGTGCGGTGAGTGCGAGGCAGGGGTGTCCCTGGTGGGATTTGAGGTGCTTGACCCCATTTTTGGTGTGCCTGACCCCATTTTTGTTGAGCCTGATCCCATTTTCGGGGTGCCTGACCCCGTTTTTGGTGTGCCCGATCCCAGATCTGGTGTGCCTGACCCCATTTTTGGGGTGCCTGACCCCATTTTTGTTGTGCCTGATCCCATTTTCGGGGTGCCTGACTCCGTTTTCGGGGTGTCTGCCCCCAGATCAAGCGCTCGGCCCGCATGTGCGGTGAGTGCGAGGCAGGGGTGTCCCTGGTGGGATTTGAGGTGCTTGACCCCATTTTTGGGGTGCCTGACCCCATTTTCGGGGTGCCTGACCCCATTTTTGTTGTGCCTGATCCCATTTTCGGGGTGCCTGACTCCGTTTTCGGGGTGTCTGCCCCCAGATCAAGCGCTCAGCCCGCCTGTGCGGCGAGTGCGAGGCAGGGGTGTCCCTGGTGGGATTTGAGGTGCTTGACCCCATTTTTGGGGTGCCTGACCCCATTTTTGGGGTGCCTGACCCCATTTTCGGGGTGCCTGACCCTGGTTTTGGGGTGTCTGCCCCCAGATCAAGCGCTCGGCCCGCATGTGTGGCGAGTGCGAGGCGTGCCGGCGCCCCGAGGACTGCGGGCAGTGCGACTTCTGCCGGGACATGAAGAAATTTGGGGGCCCCAACAAGATCCGCCAGAAGTGCCGGCTGCGGCAGTGCCAGCTGCGGGCGCGGGTGAGCGGGCACCTGGCGTGTCCCCAGCGTGTCCCCAGTGTGTCCCCAACGTGTCCTTGGTGTGTGTTGGGAGTGGGGTGTGTCCCCCGTGTGGCGTGGCCTCAGTGCTGGGGGCATTGGGGTGGCCTTGGTGTGTCCCCAGTGTATCTGGGGGTGTTGAAGGGGGTCCCTTGAAGTGGGGAGGGGGTTCAGGTCCTCTTGGGGGGGGCTTTGGGGGTGCCCGGCTGAGGGTCCCGGTGTCACCCCCGTCCCACAGCGGCTGTGACAACTGCAACGAGTGGTTCCATGGGGACTGCATCAACATCACCGAGCGCATGGCCAAGGCCATCCGCGAGTGGTACTGCCGGCAGTGCCGCGGTGAGAGGGGCGGGGGGCTCTGGGAGGGCGTGGGGGGCTTTGGGGGCTCCACAAAGGATAATGATTTCCCTATCTCAGTTCCCTCACAGTTTGGATTAGATACAGTATTTTTGTTGCTGTGGTAAACTCTTTCTGTATGGCATGGCTGTGTGCTGTTCCACAGCTGTTGCTGTCCTCTGCAGGGATGGATGCTTTAAGCTGGGCTGTTTGCAGGACTGTTTTCAGTGATTTTTAATGAAAAGCATAGAGGTGGTGAGCCACTGTGAAAAAATGATGATATTTTCTTAGAAATTTTGTCTCTTTGAAAGTAGGTGAAGACTCCACAGTCTTTCCACAGATTGTCTGTCTTGTTTGTGCTTGCCCTCCACCCAAGGACAGTGTGGTGCCTTGCTGCAAAGTGACAGCATGACCACTGTCCCCAGTGTGTCCCCAGTGTGTCCCCAGTGTGGCTGTGTTCCTGTCATGTAGTCTCTGTCACCACCTCGTGTCCCTTTGTCACCCTGTCCCATGTCCCTCTGTCACTGTGTCTCCTGTTAGCGTTTCATCTTGTCCCTGTGTCCCTCTGTCACCGTGTCCCGTGCCCCTTGGTCACCATGTCTCATGTTGTGACACATCGTTTGTCATTGTCTCGCCATGTCCTCGTGTGTCTTTGTCACCTTGTGCTGTGTCCCTGATGTGTCACTTTTCTGGCATGTCCCTGTGTCCCCCCTTCCTCACGTGTTTTGTGTCCCCAGCGAGCTGCTGCGTGTGTCCCTGTGTCACCCTGATGTTTGCCCAAGGTGTCTTGTGTCCCCAAGTGTCCCATGTCCTTGTGTTCCCGTGTCTGTGTGTCACTGTCTCACAGTGTCCCCAAGTGTCCCCTGTCCTTGTGTTCCCGTGTCTGTGTGTCACTGTCTCACAGTGTCCCCAAGTGCCCCTGTACTTGTGTTCCCGTGTCTGTGTGTCACTGTCTCACAGTGTCCCCAAGTGTCTTCTGTCCTTGTGTTCCCATGTCTGTGTGTCACTGTCTCACAGTGTCCCCAAGTGTCCCATGTCCTTGTGTTCCCCTGTCTGTGTGTCACTGTCTCACAGTGTCCCCAAGTGTCCCCTGTCCTTGTGTTCCCCTGTCTGTGTGTCACTGTCTCACAGTGTCCCCAAGTGTCCCATGTCCCCGTGTCACCCTGTCTCACTATGTCCTGACGTCCCGTGTCTGTGTGTCACTCTGTCAGCGTGTCCCCAACATGTCTTGTGTCCCCAAGTGTCCCATGCCCCTGTGTGTCCCTGTGTCTGTGTCACCCTGTCCCGTGTCCCTGACACGTCTCCAAGATGTTTTGCGTTCCTAACTGTCCCATGTCCCTGTGCCACCATGTCTTGTGTCCCTGTGTCCCCTTGTCCTGAGTCTCTATGTCCCTGTGTCCCCATGTCCCGTGTCCCTGACACGTCTCCAAGGTGTTTTGCGTTCCTAACTGTCCCATGTCCCCATGTCCTTGTCCCCATGTCCCTGTGTCTCCACATCCCGTGTCCCTGTGTCCCCATGTCCCGTGTCCCTGTGTCACCGCCCTGTCCCTGATGTGTCCCCTCCATGTCCCCACAGGAGTCCTACAAGTACTTCCCCACCTCGGTGAGTCCCTGGGGCCCTGGGGGGAGGGGATGGAGGGGAGGGGGAGGGGAAAGGGGGACCCCAGACACCCCCCATCCCCGTCAGAAGGGCGTGGTGCCATGGGGGGGGCCCGGGGGTCCCTGGCGGTGCTGACCCCACCCCCAGCTGGCTCGGGGGCGCGAGGGGGACCTGGAGCTGCTGAAGGCGCAGCTGGGGGGGCCGGGGCCCCCCGAGAGCCTCTCGGATGAGGAGCTGCCCCTCGACCCCCGGCTCTACCAGGAGCTCTGCGCCGGCGCCTTCGACGAGCACGGCCTGGTGAGCCCCCAAAAACTGCCCCCCCGGGACCCCAAAAACTGCCCCCCCCGGGACCCCAAAACTGCCCCTCCGGGCCCCCAAAACTGCCCTGGGACCCCAAAACTGCCCTGGGACCCCAAACCTGCCCCCCCCCCGGGACCCCAAAAACTGCCCCTCCGGGCCCCCAAAACTGCCCCTCCGGGCCCCCAAAACTGCCCTGGGACCCCAAAACTGCCCCCTGGCACCCCGTAACTGCCCTGGGACCCCAAAGCTGACCTCCCCGGCACCCCAGAACTGCCCCAGGACCCCAGAACTGTCGCCTTGGGACTTGAAAACTGCCCCTCCTGAGACCCCAAAACTGCCCCCTTGGCATGCCAAGAACTGCCCCGGGACCCCAAAACTGCCCCCAGGACCCCAAAACTGCCCTCCAGGCACCCCAAATACCTCCTCAGGACCCCAGAACTGCCCCCCTGGGCACCCCAAAACCCACCAGGCACCCCAAATACCCCTCCAAATAGCACAGGAGCAGATTTGAATGAGGTTTTTGCACATCAGGGCCTGGTTTAGTGTGTTTAGGCCTGGTTTAGTGTGTTTAGGCCTGGTTTTAGGCTGTTCACAGGTGGTTTTGTGTGTCAAGGTGAGCTCCAGGTATATCAGGACACGTCCTTGGTCCCTGTCCGGGCATGTCCCCAAATGTCCCCACGGGGGCTGTGCCCTGAGACGTGTCCCCAAATGTCCCCAGCATGTCCTGGCACATCAGGACATGTCCCCATGGCACTCTGAGGCTTGTCAGGCGTGTCCCTGCATGTCCCCAGCGTGTCCTGGCACGTCCCCACACCGAGCCACACGCCTGAGGCACCTCAGGCCACGTTGTCCCCTCGTGTCCCTTCACGGGCTATGCTCTGAGGCGCATCGGGGGCGTCACCCCACATGTCCCCCACGTGTCCCCATGTGTCCCCGTGTGTCCCTGGTCCTGCCAGCCCTGGCTCAGCGACGCCGAGGACGCGCCGTTCCTGGACCCCGTCCTGCGCAAACGCGCCGTGAAGGTCAAACACGTCAAACGCCGCGAGAAGAAATCCGACAAGAAGGTGAGGGCCACTGGGAGATACTGGGAGAGATACTGGGGGTTACTGGGAGGTTCCATGGGTCACTGGGAGGGCTCTGGGTGGTTGCTGGGTTACGAGTGGTGGTTACTGGGTGGTGACAGGTGGTTACTGGTGCTCACTGGTGTGGAAGGAGGAGTGGCGGAATGAGCACTGGGAGCTGCTGGGAGGTACTGGGAGGGTTCTGGGTGGTGACTGGTGCTAACTGGTGTGGAAGGAGGAGCGGTACAAGTGGCACCGGCAGCGGGCACGGCACTGGCGGTGCTGGCCTGTGAGTTGCGGTGACTGGGAGGTTACTGGGAGGTAACTGGTGCTAACTGGTGATTACTGGTGCAGAAGGATGAGCACTAAAAGCAGCACTGGCAGCGCTGGGCTATGAGTGGTGGTTAATGGGAGGTTACTGGTTTATGAGTGGTGGTTACTGGGTGATTACTGGGAGGTTCCTGGTGCTAACTGGTTCTAACTGGTGCAGAAGGAGGAGCACTACAAGCAGCACCGGCAGTGGGCGAGGCACTGGCAGTGCTGGACTATGAGTGGTGGTTACTGGGAGGTTACTGGGTGGTGACTAGGAGGTTACTGGGAGGTTACTGGTGCTGACTGGAGGTTCCTGGTGCAGAAGGAGGAGCACTACAAGCGGCACTGGCAGCGGGCACGGCACTGGCAGTGCTGGGCTATGAGTTGTGGTTACTGGGAGGTTACTGGTCTATGAGTGGTGGTGACTGAGTGATTTCTGGGTGATTACTGGGTGGTGACTGAGAGGTTACTGGTGCTAACTGGTGCAGAAGGAGGAGCGCTACAAGCGGCACCGGCAGCGGGCACGACACCGCGAGCGCTGGGCTATGAGTGGTGGTTACTGGGAGGTTACTGGGAGGTTACTGGGTGGTTACTGGGTGGTTACTGGTTCTCACTGGTGCTAACTGGTACAAGCGGCACCGGCAGCGGGCACGACACCGCGAGCGCTGGGCTATGAGTGGTGGTTACTGGGAGGTTACTGGGTGGTGACTAGGAGGTTACTGGTGCTAACTGGAGGTTCCTGGTGCAGAAGGAGGAGCGCTACAAGCGGCACCGGCAGCGGGCGCGGCACCGCGAGCGCCGCGGGCACCCCGAGCGCGCCGACGCCCGCGACCCCGCGGGGCTGGGGCAGTGCCTGGGCCCCGGCTGCACCCGCCCCGCGCGCCCGCCCTCCAAGTACTGCAGCGAGGCCTGCGGCATCAAACTGGCTGCCAAGTGAGTACCCACCAGTACGGACCAGTATAAACCAGTGCGGGACGGGACAGACCGGTATGGACTGGTATAAACTGGTACAGAACAGTACAGGCTGGTATAGACCAGTATAAACCAGTACAGAACAGTGCTGACTGCTGTGGACCAGTACAGAATGTTAGAGGCTGGTATAGGCCAGTATAAGCCAGTATAGAATGGCACAGACCAGTATAAACCAGTATGGAACAACACAGACCAGTATAAACCAATAATTATCAGTACAGACTGGTGCAAACCAGTATAGACCAGTATAAACCAGTACAGAACGGTACCAACCAGTATAGGCCAGTATAAACCAGTACACAATGGTGCAGACTGATACAGACCAGTGTAAACCCATCTAGAACCAGTATAAACCAGTTACATAAACAGGTCCTGCCACAGTGATCCTGCAGTCCCCATTAACCCTTTCCTCACCCCGATCCCAGCCAGATCTACAAGATCCTGCCTCAGTGGATCCCAGGGATCCTGAAGCCCCCATTAACCCTTTCGTCCCCTATGCCAGCCGGATCTATGAGATCCTGCCTCAGTGGATCCCAGGGATCTCAGGGCTGCCATTAACCCTTTCTTCCCCGATCCCAGGTGGATCTATGAGATCCTGCCTCAGTAGATCCCTGGGATCCTGCAGCCCCCATTAACCCTCTCCTCCCCCCGATGCCAGCCGGATCTACGAGATCCTGCCACAGTGGATCCAGCAGTGGATCCTGCAGCCCCCATTAACCCTCTCCTCCCCCCGATGCCAGCCGGATCTACGAGATCCTGCCGCAGCGGATCCAGCAGTGGCAGCAGAGCCCGTGCGTGGCGGAGGAGCACGGCAAGCGGCTGCTGGAGCGCATCCGGCGCGAGCAGCACCAGGCGCGGCTGCGGCTGCAGGAGATGGAGCGGCGCTTCCACGAGCTCGAGGGGCTCATCGCCCGCGCCAAGGGGCACCCGCCCCGCGAGGACGAGGAGGTGGGCACCCCCCAGGGCTCGCAGAGGGCTGGGGACCCCAAAAACCCTTTCATTCTCCCTGTTTTGGGTCCCTCTTGAGATCTCCCTTGGGCCTACATGGACTCCTGGGTCCCCCCCAAACCCTTTCATTCTATTCTCCCTGTTTTGGGTCCCTCTTGAGATCCCCCTTGGCCCAGGGCTCGCAGAGGGCTGGGGACCCCAAAAACCCTTTCATTCTCCCTGTTTTGGGTCCCTCTTGAGATCCCCCTTGGGCCTACATGGACTCCTGGGTCCCCCCAAACCCTTTCATTCTCCCTGTTTTGGGTCCCTCTTGAGATCCCCCTTGGGCCTACATGGACACCTGGGTCCCCCCAAACCCTTTAATTCTCCCTGTTTTGGGTCCCTCTTGAGATCCCCCTTGGGCCTACATGGACTCCTGGGTCCCCCCAAACCCTTTAATTCTCCCTGTTTTGGGTCCCTCTTGAGATCTCCCTTGGTCCTTCATGGACACTTGGGTGCCCCCAAATCTTTTTCCCCATTCTGGGTTCCTCTTGAACCCCTCTGCTCCTCTGGTACCCACATGCAGCTCCTGGAGGGCTGGGGACCCCAAAAACCCTTTAATTATCCCAGTTCTGGGTTCCTCTTGAGATCCCTCCTGATCCTTCATGGACTCCTGGGTGCCCCCAAACCATCGATGCCCCCTTCACTGCCTTTCCCTGGATCCCCTCCAAAATCCCTGGGTCCATCCTGGATGCCCCCAACCCTTTAATTCCACCCATTCTGGTCCCCCCTGAGCCCCTGGGCATCCCCCAAATTTCTGAGTCCCTCCTGAACCTTGTCCTGTGTCCCCCCAAACCCCTCCCTGGAGCATCTGGGTGCCCCTGGAGCCCCCTAACCTTGTGTCCCCCGAATCCCTGGGTGCCCCTGTGGACCCCCTGACCCCGCTGTCCCCCCAGAGCACGGAGGGGGACAGCGAGGACACGGACCTGCAGATCTTCTGCGTGTCCTGTGGCCACCCCATCAACCCCAAGGTGGCCCTGCGGCACATGGAGCGCTGCTACGCCAAGGTGATCCTGGGATCTGGGGGGGTCTGGGGGCACCTCTGGGTTCCTGGGGTCTCTGGGATCATCTGTGGGGTCATCTGTGGGGTTATCCATGGGGTTATCCATGGCACTCTGGGCTCCTGTGGGATCATCCATGGGATCTGTGGGATCATCCATGGCAGTCTATGGGCCCCCGTGGGTTCCTGGGATCTGTGGGATCATCCATGGGACTTTCTGGGCTCCTGTGGGATCTTCTGGGGGATCCTTCTAGGGGAACTTTGGGAGCCCCCGGGGCTGGGCACCCTCCCCAGATCCTGCAGTGGCCATGGGGATCCCTTTCCTCAGTTCGAGGGGGCTGGGGGGACCCTGTGAAGGAACTTTAGGGGGCTGGGGGGGCTGTGGGATTTCAGGGAGAGGGGCTTTATAGGGGCTGGGAACGAGGTTTTGGGGGGTGGGGGCAGTGCCCAGGACACTCCTGGGACCCCAAGGTGGGCACAGAGCGAGGTTTTGGGGGGTGGGGGCAGTGCCCAGGACACTCCTGGGACCCCAAGGTGGGCACAGGGTGGCTTTAAGGGGCAGGGGTAGTGCCCAGGACACTCCTGGGACCCCAAAGTGGGCACAAGGGGGACAGGACGTGGGCAGTGCCCGGGACAGTTTTGAGACCCCAAAGTGGGCCCAGAATGAGATTTTGAGGTTGAATTTAGGGGATCTGTGCCCCAAGCACTCCTGGGACCCCAGGGTGGACATGAGGGGACAGGACATGGGCAGCGCCCAGGACACTGCCAGGACCCCAGGGTGGCCGTGGGGGTGGCAGAGGGGCTCTGGGTGTCCTGCTGACCCCGTGCCCGCCCAGGTGCCCGCGGACGAGGTGTGCGGGTGCCCGCTGGTGCGCGACGTCTTCGAGCTGACCGGGGACTTCTGCCGCGTCCCCAAGCGCAAGTGCCACCGCCACTACTGCTGGGAGAAGCTGCGCCGCGCCGAGGTGGACCTGGAGCGCGTCCGCGTGGTGGGTGCCACCGCCCCGTGTCCCCAGAGTGTCCCCAAAGTGTCCCTGTCGCTGTCCCTGTCCCCCTGCAGTGGTACAAGCTGTTTGAGCAGGACAGTGTCCCTGTCCCCACACTGTCCCCATGCTGTCCCTGTCCCCACACTGTTCTTGTCCCTGCACCGTTCCTGTCCCTGCACTGCCCTTGTCCCCACAGGGTCTGTCCCTGTCGCTGTCCCCACACTGTCCCTCTCCCCACTCTGTCCCCATGCTGTCCCCATGCTGTCCCTGTCCCCCACAGTGGTACAAGCTTGACAAGCTGTTTGAGCAGGACAGTGTCCCTGTCCCTGTCCTCACGCTGTCCCCACCCTGTCCCCACACTGTTCCTGTCCCTGTCCCCACGCTGTCCCTGTCCCCGCAGTGGTACAAGCTGGATGAGCTGTTTGAACAGGACAGTGTCACTGTCCCTGTCCCCACCCTGTCCCTGTCCCCACACTGTTCCTGTCCCTGCATTGTCTTTGTCCCCACGCTGTGTCTATCCCCACTGTCCCCACAGTGGTACAAACTGGATGAGCTGCTCGAGCAGGACAGTGTCCCTGTCCCCACTCTGTCCCCACCCTGTCCCCATGCTGTCCCCACACTGTCCCTGTCCCCCACGGAGTCACGTGGGGAGGGGGCGCGGCCCGGCTGTGTTTGGGGGCGGGGTCCGGCGGTGTTTGGGCTCTCGGGGCGGGTCGTGACCCCCTCCCCACCCCCTCCCCGGGGGTCTCAGCCCCCCCGCAGGATGGCGGAGGGCTGGGCCGAGTGCCCGGCGCTGGGCCCGGGCTGGCAGCGCCGCGAAGCTTTTCGGAAATCCGGGGCCACCAGCGGCCGCAGCGACACCTACTACAGGAGGTGCCCCTCCCCAAAAACCCCCAGCACCCCTCTCCCACCCCCTCGGGACTGCGGGTGGGGCCGTTTCTGCCCTTTCTCCCTCCTAGACCCCATCCCGTGTCCATTTGAGGGCTTCCCCCCCACCCCCCGGTGGTGTTTCCTGCGGGATTTCAGAGCCCCTCTCCCATCTCCCCCTCCAGGATCTCCCCAGGGCCACCTCCGTGCCCCTTTCCCCAAATATTCCCAGTCCCTTCCAATTTTTTCAGGCTGTTTTGGGGCTTGGGGAATCCTTTTTGAGAGTTTCGGGGTCTCCTGAGCTCTGTTTGTTCCCCCTTTCCCATTCTCCCTTTGGCATTTGGGGGCTCCCCCGGGCTCAGCGGTCCCTGTGGGGTTTTGGGGCCGTTCCTGGGGATTTTGGGGCCCGTCTGACCCGACTCCCCGGCAGCCCCACAGGGCAGAAGTTCCGCAGTAAGATCGAGCTGCGGCGGTTCCTGGGCCCCGGGCACGACCTCAGCAACTTCGACTTCAAATCGGGGCTGCAGCGACCTGGCCCCACCCGGGTAAGGGGGATGGGAACCGGGAGGGGCCCTAAAAACCACGATGGGGGCACAAAAATCCCAAAAAACCTCGGGGCGGGGGGGGGGGGGAAACCTGGAGCTCTCCTGAGAGGGGAACCCCATAACAAGAATGGAATTGGGAGTGGAATAAAGAGGTGGGGTAAAAGGGGCTCCTCAAAATGAGGGAAATGAGGTTGAGGTGACCCTAAATTTGGGGGGGGGGGGATAACAAGGGGTCTTTAAATTTGGGAGGAGCAGTAATGGGGGTTTTGAAGTGGGGGAAGGGTCACAAGGGGTTTTTATGACCCCCCCCCATTTTCTGCTTTTCAGGCCAGGAAGAGCCCCAAATGGCATCTGCCCACCGAGCCCCTCCCAGAGCCCCTCGAAATCTTCAAAAAGGAGGAAGAGGAGGTGGAAGTGGAGGTGGAGGTGGAGGTGGGCGGGGCTGAGACCGAGAAGACCCCACCCTCATCAGTTCAGGCCGTGCCCATCCCTGTCCAGGCCACGCCTCTGACTCTCCAGGCCACACCTCCTTCAGTTGAGGCCACGCCCTCTCCGGCCGTGGCCACGCCCTCACTGGAGCCCCCCCATCGCAGGACCCGGAAGCGGCCGCCCCTGGAGCCCCCCCAGGATGGGGTGGTGGCGTGAGTGGGGGAGGGGACAGGGGTCCATGGGGGGTGGTGGGGTCCTCCAGGTGTGGGAGTGGGGGTCTCCTGGAGCTCTTGGTGTGGGTAGGGGGGTCTCAGGATCAGGGGGTGACCCCAGGAGGGAGGGATTGGGGTCCCTGGGGGGAGTTTGGGGGGTTCCCTCAGGGGGGTTGCGGGATCTCAGGGGCAGTGGGGGTGTTGGGGTCCCCCTGGCACCCCCCAAAATGCTGCCCCCTCCTCCACAGGCTTTGTGCTGGCTGCCAGAGCCTCTTCCCGGGGGTGTCCCTGCCCCCCCAGCGCCGCTGCCGCTGGCTCTGCCCCGACTGCCGTGGTGAGCTTCGGCCTCAGAGCCCTCCTCCTCATCCTCTTCATGCTCCTCCTCATCCTCTTCGTGCTCCTCATTGTCTCAGCCTTTCTCCCACCTTCCTCAGCTCTCTCAGAGCTTTTTCTGTTTTATTCTCTTCCTTATTTTCCTGTTCTCCATGTCCTTCATTCCCTGGGGTTTTCCCTCTCCATCATCATCATCGTTCCTTGAATTTCTTCAGCCTCGTAATTATCATTTTAATCCTCTGGAACTTCTTGTTCCTCCTTCTTCTTCCTGATTCTCCCCTGCCTCCTTTTCCCTGTTTCGGACCATTCTGGAGAGGAAGGGAGCTTGAAGGAGCTTGGGAGGGGGGTCAGGGGGGAATTCCAGAAAAGTTGGGGTGACCCTGACCCCCTTCCTCCACCTCCCCCAGCCCAGAGACGAGACTTCAACCGGGAGCAGCGATTCTACAAGGTACCCCCGATCCCTCAGGGGGGTCAAATGGTGCCCTTGGGCATTCCCCCAATCCCTCAGGGAGTTTGGGGAGCCCCCCCAGAGCCCTGACACCCCCTCCCCACAGCGGGTGGGCTGTGGCACGTGCCAGGCCTGTCGCATCCCCGAGGACTGCGGGATCTGCAGCGCCTGCGCCCGCAACCCCCCCGGGGGCCCCTCCGGGCCCGGCCGGACCCCCAAGTGCCTCCTGCGCCGCTGCCTGCGCATCGTCAAGAAGGTACCGGCACCCCCTTGTCACTGTCACCCCCCTCGGTGTCACCAGCACCCCCTTGTCACTGTCACCCCACCTCAATATCACCAGCATCCCCCTCGTGCCACCAGCACCCCCTTGTCACTGTCACCCCCCTCGGTGTCACCCGCACCCCCCCAGTGTCACCAGCACCCCCTTGTCACTGTCACCCCC